TATCACATCATAAAATATAAAAGTTCGAAATTGGAGAAAACGGTCGGCAACCCAAGCACATCTAATAATCAAATAAATCCATCCGCATCTCTCGTCCTCAAGGCCCGAATCTATGGCTATAAGGGTGTTTGGAACACCTTAAAAATACTTTTAAAAAAATATTTTTTTAAAATCAAAATAAACTTTTTACATATTTATTTTGTATATAATAAAATTATTTTTAAAATCATAGTTTAGTTTTTCATCCAAACACCTTCTATATATAAATTGGTAATATTTTCCTTCTGAAAAAAATATGCATATTGATATGAAAATACATATATTTACTTATGTATATTTATTACGTTAAGTTTTCTAATCATATATAACCATCTATCCTATTTTTAAAATATTATCATTTGACAACATTTGATCATAAATTTATATAAAACAGGAAAAAAAAAAACATAAGAATGCCTAGTAGGAGAACTTGACAAGTTCACCTAGGTTTTTTATATTTCCCTTTTTGGACCAACATATATTGATTATTTATCTCAATAATCACTTTAAAGTCTCTCGGCTCGGGCTTCGCAGCGCCATGTGGCGTCTCTGGTTTGATTTCTCTCATCTGTGTCGGCTTGCAAGAGCTTCCACCCCAAATCACATCAAACTAGTGAAAGGTGGCCGAGGAGAGTGAGCAATGTACGCTCCGAAAGCTTCGGAGACTTTCTTCTCTACTCTCTTTGCTTTCGCTTATTGCTTCCTTACTCTGTTCTCTCGGTTGGACTTTATTTATATTGATGTACAATTTGTTAGCATTTTCTGTATCTTGACCAAGAGTCTCTGCGTTTTTCTTATCGGCATTTGTAATAATCTGAAACATTTTGTATCCTGCATTCGTCAACCTTACGAATTTTTCAGGTCCTCACAAACTATTTCAGAATAACAACCGTTCGTAATGTGATTGTTCAGTTTGGAGATGAGAAGCTGTCATTTATTTTTATTTTCGGCGTCATGACTTGAAAACATATTATCACCTGTTGAATCTGCCAAGTGATGGATTTTGTAGATCCTTTGATATATTTGCTTGAAAAGCTATGAAAACGTAAACAGGTTATGGAAATCTTCCATTTGTTTATAATTTAGAATTTCTACAAATTCAATAGCAACTAAATAACTATGTTTTAATAAAACAATGAGAATCAATGGATGGATTTTTAATCTAAGTATTAATTCATCAAATTATGGCCATGATAATTGAATTTTAGAAGTCTATGCGTTAATAATAGACCTCGTTAATATGGATAGACACTCTAGGAATATAGGGTTGTTCTTGCATAAGTAGTCAAGTGCTAAATTTTCAATTTTTCGTATCTATTTATGACATGTGGTTCCAAATTTTCAATTTATGTTCTTGGCTTTCGGTTTTGATCTAGGCCTTTGGTGGAAGGTTGGAAATCATAATGGCGAAACGAGAGCTTTCCTTGACCCCCCCCCCCCCAAAAAAAAAAAAAAAAAACCGAGAGCTTTCCAGCATGCTCAAGAACTTGAAGGTAAAACAGGAATCAAACATCGTCCCTCCCTTTTCCTTTAATGGATTATTCAAATTAGATTTTGGTGAGTTTAAGAAGTTTCTGAGGCTTAGGCCTTATTATTGCTTGGTCCAAGATTTCATAACATTTCCATAACTCAATGTGATTATAATATTTGTTCTTCCAATAGTTTATGCAAAGAGCAGCTCTAAGAGAGGAGAAATCCAAGGAAAAGGAGGATGAAGTGAAACCTGATGTCAATATTTTTGAAACTCCCACAATAATTAGAAAATGGTAATCTTTTTTATTCTTTCATCCTTCTTGGTACTAATTTGGATATCCACCTTGAAATAGACAGTCTGAGTGTGCTGACATGTTACCTAAGTTCTGAAATAATTTTCACCCACAAGTTCTATGTCAGATTATGACTAGTGTAATGCCTACTAGCTGAGTGGCTGACTACATTTATTGTCAGCTAGGGCTTGTTTCATCACAATTTAGGATTCATCATTGCTTAGTATTGTTCCACGTCTTAAATATACTCTTTTTATCAATAAATATCAAACTTGTTGGTAGATTTGTTTGGATTCCATGATCGTCCTCAAATCTACTCTTGTTCAATAGCGTTAAAACATTCTTTAATTTGAAATCCTACAAGTTATCATTAGTGACATGCTAATAAGTGCCATTTTACCCATAGCTCCTTTTAAAGAGAACACTGTAAACCCTTTCTATACCAAGTGTGTTTTTCGCAACTTAATTCCATAACTACCTCTGACATGTTTCTGATATCTGCATATTCTGAATTATTCTGTTAAGCTGTTTCTTGATTTTCCATATTCTCTCTAATTTATGCAGTATCGTTATAGTGGAAGGTAATCCCCATCCAGAAGCAATTAAAGGTCGGATGTCATTTCAAAGTTTTAATCCACGAATTGACGTGAGAACAAAGATGAAGAATTTAAAGGTTTCCCTACTTGATGGCAAATCCTTGCCTATATAGAGACTCAATGAAGAAGACGCAAGGCCCTGAAACTTCTAGTTCTAGGAGTCAAACGGGAAATATTTCTGTTTGGTGGTTTCTCTTTTCCCATAATACTCAGTTGAATGTGATTTTTTTTAGTGGTGTTTAATTTTTGTTTGTGCTAAAGCACCCGGTATCCTAGATCTACCCCACTTTAACTAGAGTATTTACCTGGGGTCCAGGCTAATCTGGATTGAGCTAGGCTCAAACATGAGGGTGCTCAAGTTTGAGACCTCTGGTTAAGTTGGTATAACCCATTGCCAGTTAAACCAAGTCCTTGATGATTGTGGTGTTTAATCTTGTAGGTGGGGTCCGCCTCCCAACCCCATCTCCGAGGGAGCAACCCCCCGGGGGGGAGGATCTGATGATTCTTCATCAATGGTTTTAGTTTAATCCCAAAAATGCAGATAAACATTACATCTCTGGATTTGACCCTGGTTAGCTGACACATCCTTTTACATTTGGATTCAGAGAAAATGGACTTCCCGTGGGTGGTTCAAATTGAGCAAACACTACCAATGAGATTAGTGGCCACCTCAAAAGGAAACAGTCTGAAGCACAAAATCCAACCAAGGATGATAAAGGCGATGATCAATCATTGCCAAGAAACAGTTTGGGGTCTTTCAAAAGCCGAAGGGAGATAAGTTGGACTGGAATGTTCTTAGACCACCCAAATGCTAAAAGCAGAATAGAATGGGGATGTTGATGGTTAAGGTTTTTTTTTTTTTTCCCTTCCTTTGGCCAGCATATTGATGGTTAAGTTAGTGTAATCATGCTAGATTGAGTTCTCCTTTGTTCCCCGATATTGGGTTTTGTATCGCTAATATTATTTTCACTGAGTCATTTTATCATGTAGCTATAATGGCTACATTTTCCACCATGTAATGAAATGAGTTCAGGATTCATCATAGTATAGATAAGTACTTCTGGATTGTAGGACGAGTGTACTTTTTCTTGATCATACTTACTCTATTGGTAAGATTTTATCTATTACTCTGTAACATTTTTTTACAAAATTTAATAAAATATCTATGATTTTAGTTTGATTAAGGGTGATTTTGAAAAATTGTAAAGATTCTTCACTTTTAACTGAGGCCTAAGGAGAAAAAAAAATATAGCATTTAATCTCTTAACTTTCCTTCAATAATTGATTCATGTTTTTTTGTGGTCAATGAATAATTGATTCATTCCTCTTGTAACAACTTATTCGTAGCTTATTGAGTTAAAAATTATAAAAATTGAGTTAGTTACGAATAAAAAGAAAACTACTAAGGATGGATTTATTCTGTGGATTTATTCTGAATTAACAAACTACATAGACTAAGTTATTTTGAATCAAATTCAAGAGTTAAATGAATAATTGGGTAAAACCGTAAAAGTCTAGAAACTAAAAGTTACTTTTTTTCATTTTCTTATATTTACTCAAAATTATTTCTTAATTTTTTTGGGCCAAAGAAATTATTCCTTAATCACACAACCACCGACTCAAGTTCATATGTTTAAAGATTAAAGGGGCGTATTTTATACCTCAAGAGTTGGGTAAGTCATTGTGCATTTTTACATAAACAATCTAATTACTAAAAAAGTCGCCAAATAGTGGGTAGCATGCACATGTTATTATTTTTTTATGTCAAAATTTGTTATTACGTGCTACCCATTTGTTACAAGATTTTTTAGTAATTAAATTCTTTATAATTTGTATTACCAAAGAGAAAGAAAGTCTAGTTGGGATAATTGTAGCTTCATCCCAATGATACGGACTTTAATCCTTGTCCTGTAAATTAAAATCTTTACTTCCTTTTCATTTTGGAGTTGTTAAGTAATAACAATTAGGATTATTTCATATTCACTTGGAATCGTTAGGCCTTTTGCACACATTCCCTGAACTTGTAATAGGATTTAATAGGTAATACACGATGGATCTAAGGCTTAATGGAGGGTTTTCTTTTGAATTTAATTTAATTTTTTTAACATGAAAAGTGCTTCAGGTCTCACGTCAATTGAAGTTCAAAGACAAACTAAAGCATATTAGCAAAGAATCGCCGATAGGCTATGGAGAGCAATAAAGCTCGTCAATGGATGCAGATAATTTTCTCATTGGTTAGTTATGATGCAACCATAAACAACACGAGCCAAAATAAGAAAATAATCTGCACAGTAAAGCAAAACATACCAAGTTCATCATCTCCCTAGACACGTATAAACCAAATCCCTAAGATGAAAAGAAAAAAGACTAGCCAAAATAACTTTTAGTAAACATTTTAACAGATACCAAGGTTGACGATGTTTTGTGAGATTTTGCAGCATACTATCATTTGAAAGCATAAAAAAACATACAAGTCTTGCACTTTTCAGTACTGACTATTATAAGCAATAAAGAAACATTTGAACCAAACATCCTCGAACAACCAAGTCTTTTACTTTTGACACCAACATTGATAAGCACAAAAAGCACTAAGGAAATATTAAGTAGAAACTGAAAATGTAGATTCAAATCGCTTGTGAACCTCAAGAGGAGTCCACTCCAAATTGCTCCACCATTCTTTCTCACCTTTAATGGTTCTTAGTTTCGCTGCATTGGTTGTGTTGAAAGGTAGAGCTTTCAACTCAGGGCAATTTTGTACATTTAACCGCTCCAAAGAACTCCATGCTAAATTTTTATTTGGGCATATGGATTTGAAGTTTAACAAGTTATCCAACGTCAATATCTTCAACTTCGGAAGTATGCTTTGCCCGCTGATGAGAACCTCAATTTTTGAACAATCTTGAACCACTAACTTCTGCAATTCAGGAAATTCATCAGCGGCTGTATTGAAAAAGATACTTGTCAACTCTGGACAATTCTTCAATGTCAAAGTATGCAACATGGAAAAGCTTCCGGGATGAAAAGGACCCCTAAAAACACACCTCACATCTCGCAAATTGTCCAAATGTAATTGATCCAAGTTTGGCAAGAGACTTGCATTGTTAGGTAAGGTGCCATTAATAGCATTGCAAACCAGATCTCCTCGAACAACAACTAACATTTGATTGCACCCGTCGATAAGTAAAATACGGAGATATTCCAAGTTTGATGACCTTGCCAACTCACATAAATTTGCAACATTGTTGTGACAGATTAACTCAAATGCTTCAGCTTGGGAGAGTATCTCAGTGATTGCCAAGTCATCTTTTTTGTCACCATTACAATACTTTACATACTTGAAAATTCTATCCTTAAAAGACTCAATGATTTTGGGACGTTTTGAGATTTCACATCCCACGAAAAATTGAAATGAAGTAAATTGCTTCTTACCTCTCCATGATTTGCTGGTCTCCAGGAATTTTCCAAGTATTTCTGAAGAAGGAAAGCCGCACCTGAAAGTTGATAAATTTTCCAAAGAAGCAACTTCTGATAAAATATTTTCAGCATCACGACACCACTGCTGCAGGAATTTTACTTCAATGGTCAATTCTTCTAATTTGCGAAGCTCTGAAATTCCTTGATAATTACTGCTTGCAATGTATGAGATTCTTAGGCACCGCAAACTTTCCAAGCATGGCACAAAATTCACCCCAGTATCTCGAACGTCAAATATCTCAAGATGTTTAAGTGGTTGGATTTGAGATGGATATATTATCAAGTCTGAACAACCATTTAGATAGAACGCTTTAAGCCTGGCTAATCCTGACAAAGATGGTAACCTTCTTATTTTATTTCGATATAAGTTTAACACAAGAAGATTGCCCATGCTGTCAAAATAGGCTGGTGGAATTTCAACCAACTCTAGATTCTTTTGTAGCAATAGAGTTTGAAGACTCCCACAAGTTTGGTTTTCCGGAAGAATATTCCTGTTAGTGCCAACCATAGAAACCCATCTAGCCTGCTGCCATAATTCTGATCTAAAGGACTCCTGACGTTCTTCATCATCAACGTAAGTTCTACATTCTGAATCTTTGGATGATATATATAAAGCAAGTTGCCTGTAGAGATCATTCATTTTTACATACCTCATTTGTTCCCCTTCCTCCAAGAATGCAACATTAACAAGGTGCCTCAATATCGTAGTAATTGCTCGACTGCGCATGCCACTATACTTAGCATCTGTATCAACAGCGCCGAGAAAGCCCTGAACTATACAACACTCCACTAAGTAGTCAGTGTATATCTTGCTGTTTGCAGGATATAGTGAAGCATAAAGGAAGCATTTTTGTTTACTTCGGTCACCCAACAGTTGATAACAAAGTTCCAACTTTGAGTATAACTCTTTCAATTCATCGATTCCAACTTGAGGCCAAGGCGTCCATTCGTTCAAAGCCTTCTGCCAATCAGGGGGAGACTCTTGATATTTAAAAGACTTTGCAATGGGATCTATAAGGAGGGGAAGACCAGAGCAGAACCTCTTGCATACCAGCCTGGCGGTTGGTAGGTGTGGTAAATAATTGTCACCAACAATGTCTCGAAACATCTTCCATGCCTCAGGAGGGGATAACTTTTTCAGATCGACGTTCCTGTTGACACATTTTGATTTCCGAGCAAGAGGATAACTCGTGGTTATTACCACCTTACTATCTTTTTTGTCTCTTGAAATATCCAACTTCTGCCAAATCCCATCGGCTGTGCGCCTTACGCCATCTAAAATCAGTAAATATCTTTTGTTCACTAGCACTCTCTGTATTCTTCCAGCAACTTCAAATTCATTACCTTCTCTATCCACCTTTATTCGATCCGCAATTTTCTGCAGGATGTGAAGGTCTTTAGTCTGCTCATCAGCTGACACTTTAACGAAAATGACCATATCAAACAACTTATCAACGCTATCATAAAAGTAGTTATTCAAGTGCTGCACTATTATTGTTTTCCCCACCCCTTTTTGTCCATAAAGTGCCACGCATTTTACGCTGTTAATTTGAAGCAGGGTCTGAATGTTTTCCAAGGCTTCCTTAAGAGTCGGATAGTCCGCAATTGATGGAAGACCAATTTCTTTAATCACCCGCTCTGGCAGCTTATCAACTAGAATTTTATCTGGACATTTTTCAGTAAGTTTGATTACCTCATTGAGTGCCCTTTTGATGGTCTCCTTATCAGGATCTCGTCCTTTACATCCATACCGTTTCTTTCGTCCTGCTTCATATTTTTCATTCAAGGAAGCCACCTCTTTCTCAATGTTTGATACGCTCTCCTTCCAACGCATGTAAACATGAGACGGCTCTTTCTGGATATCGCTTAAAGCTACTTCCCTGTCCTTGTCACTCCGGGAAGCAAGTAGATCCTTTAATCCATCGTTGAGCGCTTTATGCATTTCAGCGCGCGAAGCCGTGGGATTTTGAACTATGGACTTTAATGCTTTAAGCCCAAGATTCACAAGCGGTGTCGACAGAGTTGCAGCCGCGGTAACAGCGATGTCAGCCATTGAGAAACCTCAAAGCCTGCGGAGATAAAGAAAATATTACTTTGACATTTTTTTTCACTTTTCCCTCTATTGATTACTACTGCCAAAGAGTTTTAAATGTAAGAAAGAAATCAGAAATATGAGAAATAATAAAAATCTATTTAATGTACTTTTCAATCACATTTTTTAAGTATAAAATAAAAAATTTATCAGTTTATATAAGGGTTTTATATTTAGAACCGGAGGAGTATCATTTTTTGGTTTGGTTTGTAAGAAAAATTCACCAACTTCTTATGTTATGGATAGGAGAGAGTATTAATTAATGAAATAAGTTAGATATAACCAAGATATTCGTATTTTACAACTATAAAGTCATTAGGTAGGTTAGTGATTATGTTTTTTCAAAATTAATCACTTAAAATCTCATTAATTATAATTTCTTTGACTTTTGGGTGTAATGCATAGTGCTAAATATGGATAAATCTGAAATTATTTTCATTGTCTAACAACATTCACGACTTAACCACCCCTTCTTAACTTTGACACAGTAAATAGAGGTAACTTTTAATAGGGATCATAGTGGTAACCGGCCTCATTGCATTATTTTCTCGTTCATATTTTATCTTACAATTCCTTTCCTTCTTTATGAAATAAAAAATCTTAAATAGTAGGTATATAGCATTATTATTTTGTTAAAAGTGATCCAACAAACGATAATTATCCACCATACGGTAATTACATTTTTTGTCTTTTTTTGTTTTTTAAGAAAGCTACGTGCTTGAATCACCTTGTTAGTGCAGTTTTTTTCCTAGAAAAACAATATTACTGAAATTTTTCGGTTAATATTTACTTGATTAAAATAATATTTGTATGAAATAATTATCATGATAAAATTGAATAATCTAATAACATTTATATCATGATTTGCAATTACTAGACTTGGATCGTGGTATAGAAAGTCTGCCTAGTCCAACCTGATATGCTTGAGGGCAGCTTATCTCTCCAAGTCTCAAGATTTGGCCTCCAAATGAATCACAAGCTGGAGAGAGAAAATTTGAACTCATGTTAGAAAACTTGAAAATTAAATGGGTCAGACTTGGACTTCTCCTAATTCCATCTTAAGCCCCAAATTAATTCATTCATAAAAATAATTTTCAAAAAACAAAAGTAAATTAGTGAAGGAAACTCTGTGGCTAATCAGTTTACAATGGAATTTTGCCACTAATTAATTAGTAACGGTTTTTTTTTTTTGCAATGAAATTTTGCAAATTTCATCCAAGGAACTAAAAATCAGATTGGATATTAAACAAGTTGACATAGTGATTCAATAGTCAGTGAGTCAGATCAAGTCAACTCGGATCAAATCGGTCATATTAAAATAATATAACTTAATTAAAAATAACAAGATACAACTACATCAATAATCACTGATAACAAAATATAAAGAAATATAACAATAATTTGATTGTAACAATGACAAAGTACTATAACATTGAGAATATTCATTTCAATGATTCCTTAATAATTAAAACTAATAATCATTGATACCAAAACGATCATTAAAATTTATTCAAATCTACATTAACTAAGATATTAGGAGTTGAATAAAAAAAAAAAATGAATAACATAATTATTCAAACTAGTTCATCACTGATTTTTACCAATTTAACTGGATGGATAGTGGTTTACCTTTGACTAGTTTAGCACTTTAATCAGACAAGACCATAGGCCGATTGAACTGACTGGTCCTATCCCCTTTTCCCCCCTTGATTTCATCACTAAATTTGGTAATTTGCTGTGTTTTTGGGTAATAATGAATGCAGTGTATGGTTATTAGTTGTCGTAAATGTATGCACGCCCAATGAAATGCAGCACATTCAATCAAGCCGGATAAAAGGAGACAAGGGAGAATGAAATAACGTTGAATTAAGTAAAATATAGAGTCACTTGTCATCAAAAGCGTCTGGATTGTTCAATGTTCTCGGTTCTCCGCTTTTATTAGCATTATATGGATAAGTACTAAGTAGCTAGCATCAAGTAATAATCCCCTGAATACGTAAAAGCATTTACTTGACATTTTTTCTGCAAATTAAAACCCAATATCAAGATGACATCAACAAATATCTAAAGCTCTTTCAAAATCGCAAGAGAAATTAATTGAAAAAGAGCGATGGCTTACACACACTGTGGCAAGTTATTGATAAAGGGCCGAGTCTTGCTCCCCATGAAAGCTCTTAGTAGAGATCTACACTTCAAAGGAGAGAGTCTCGTCAAATCAGAAGAAGCAATCATATATATGAGAAGTTTTGACTCAGCAATCAGAATAACGAGATCAGCTCATATTTTCTACTAGTTGTGTATCATATGTTTATCTATATATATTTAATCACTACAAAGTAGCACTGAAAATAATGAGCGTGTGCGTAGATAAGAAGCAAAAATCACTTACCAGTAATCAAGAATTCCCATTATTTTACTCCCTCCGTCCTTTATTATATATATAAAAAAAACAATAACCAAAATCACACGGCTCAAAATGTTAGCTAAATTTAATTAAAACAATAAATATATAAGATATATATGTTTTTAATTATACTCTTATTTGTAAATAGTGTGCATGAAAAATAATAAGTGACCGTTTATTGCAGATGGATAATAAGTAATATATATTTAATAGGGATAAAAATAAAAAGACAAGTTTAAAATTTCAGACAAAAAATATTTGTTTCTTATACCTAGGAACATAGAGAGAAGGTTTCTCAGAAAAAGAACGAAAAGAGTAGTCTCCTTTTCCTCCCCGGCTTTTTCCCTATCAGAAGCGGATACGGGTACTTAGAAACTTGACATTTTGTAACCAAAAAGAAAAAAAGAAAAAAGAAACTTGACATTTTCCGCGACATCCAGTGCTTCGATTGCAAGATTCAGAACCATATGTATAAATACATACACACGAGTGCTAAATCTGTTTCAGCATCGAATATTATAACAACTCAAAAGAGAAATTATGGAAAAAGAATAAGTGATGGCTCATGCTAACCAGAACATGGCCAAAAGAGGATTACGTGAAATAAAATGAAGCTGATTAAATATCAATTGTTCAAATAAATATGTAAATGCTGTAATGTCATATCATTGCGCGTTGAAGAAGAATAAAATCCCAAACTTTAATGCTATTCTTTTCATTGTTCAGTCTTGGTCATTTTACCTTCTCTTTAACAAGTAGAATTAAGCATCAAGGAAAAAATCTGGTGAATTAAGTCATGAACATGGCATTTTTTCTGCAAAAGACCATTGATTGACTGCAAGAATCAGAATATAAAGCTGCTTCAACGTCAAATAATTACCACAACTCAGAACAGAAACTAATTAAAAACCAGAAAATGCAGTGATGACTTGTGCATATACACCCAGAACATGAGCAGAAGAGGAGCTGGCTTGCTTTTTTTCTGGAGGCGGTCTGAGTGTTGATTCCGATGAAAGAATTCAATTTTTGGTGAAACTCTGGGTGAAGCAGCTTCGGAGGAGACGCTCTGCTTAGAAGATGAACAGCACTACAGAGTGAGCGAGGTCAAACTTCAATAATGGCATTGGTCTTCCACTACGCGTTCGGAGCCAGCTCAACTTTTGTTTTCTACAAAAAAAAGTGCTGATGACTTTAACTAACTAACTTACTTAACTTCTTTAATCTAATCAAATTAATTAAATGGATTTTATATTAATGACCGGATGAGTATTTTTGAAGATAAGTAGTCAGTCTATCAGCTTGTTTGGCACAGCGTTTCTGGGCAATAAGCAGCTTATAAGCCAGAAAAGCTCAACTGCAAATTTTGATGCCGTTTCGTTGAGCGATTGGGCAATCTGGCTTTTGTATGAAAAGCTACAATAAGTTATAAATTAAAATTAACAGCTTTTGAAATATGAAGAGAGAAAAAGTTAAGAAATTTATTACCTCTTTTGGTTCTTATTATAAGCCTCAAATAACTAATTTGTAGATAATAAAAAATCAGTTAAAATTAGTTGAAAGTAATGAATAAGTTAGAAATATATTTTTATTTTAAATATGCTCCTAAAAATATACTTTTATTTTTTCATGTTTCACTTTATATTTATAATATTTTTTATGAATTCTTCATATTAAATTATTTTAATTTCATTGTATTATGTGAAATTATTTTTTTAATCATGTTTCATTATTTATTAAAACTCATATCTATTTTGGTCATTTTACAACCAAACTTACTTTTACTCAACTATAATCCAAATAATTTTTTACCAATCTCACTTTTACAAACTAGCTTTTCTGAACTCCAATCCAAACACAATTTAGCTTATCCAATTTAGCTTTTACCCAATTTCACTTCTCCATAAGCTGCTTTTTCAATAAGCTACTTTTCCAATCGCTGATCCAAACAGACCCTATGTTATTCATCCTAAAATACAACAGGCAATCTCTAACCCTCACTGCTTTTTCCCTCTTGATCATTTCCCATTCACAACTTTGTGGGTTTTTATGTTTTCCGTTCACCCTTTCTCTTGCTCATCTTGCTTTGTCACTCCTAATCATTGTCGTGCTCTCAGTTCACCTCTTGCCCATTTTCTTGTTCTTTGTATTTCATCTCAATTTTTTTAATTTTCAGTTTTATTCTTCCAGTTGGTGTAGGTGTATTTCACCTTCAAATTATGTACATGCAAAGCTTGAGTTGACCGTTGAGTAGTAATTCTTCATTGTTTTTTCAGGCCAAGAAAAGAAATCCTCATTGTTTTAATAAAATTTTGATTAATATCACAACTGATTTTCATAGTTTGATTACATTTTGATTTTAGTCCTTATATGGGGTGCTAAACTCCCCTAAAATCATGTTATAATAATTCGCTTTTATCCTGACTTCATTTTCAAAGTCTAATTCACCCAACAAAGTTGATGCAGAGGGTATTTGAAACTGAAGATAAAATTTTTTTCTTATATTTATTTTATTTTTGTAAAATTATTTTTAAAAAATGAATCCAAATATTTATAGTTG